CCCCAAGGTAGGGGGTTTGTCGCCCTCGATCGCGATCAACGTTTTGCATGCAAAATCCAATTTATGCACGAGCCACGGACTCGAGGTGGACGTCCGCGGCCGAGTGTTTTAAAATCTTCGTGGCGTTTTCATATATTCCTTAAATTAATTTCCGCGTTAGTATTTTACCACGTGACTTAGTATATATTCGTCATACCGTTTGAAAAAATTGGGCCGAATTACGCCTCGTTGGAAGGTGGGACCTAGAAAAGAAAAGAAAAGTAGAAGAAAAGGGAGCGTCCAAGATCCCATCGACCGCAGTTGATAGTGATCCGTGCGAGCGAGCGAAAAGAGAGCGAGATTCCGAAAGGCCCGAACGAGGACGTGCAGCTCGCAGGAGGCCAAAAAGCCAACGAGGGAAGATCGTACCGGTAAGGTGGTCTTTTGTTCAAATGTATTGTGAAGCTACGAACAAACCGGGGAGGCCGTGTTCGCGTGTTCTGCGATCGAATTGCGGCCATTTGGTATTTGTATCGTGTGTGCCCTTAGAGTGCGTTCCCACTGAGCGCGTCACGCGTCGCGTTATCCGAATTGATCAATCGAAACATTTTATTACATAATTTGTCGCGCGATCCTGGATTTCATACAAAAAAAGATTATTTGATCTCTAAAATGTTGAGTAACCTATTCGAAACGTCGCGCAAGGAGTCACGCGGCAAATGATGCAATAAAATGAGATATTTTGATCGATTAATCGTGACGCGACGGACGACGCGTGACGCGCTCAGTGGGAACGCATCCTAACAAGATTAAATAAAAAGCGCCAAGTGTTTTTACATAAAAATTATTTTATTAAGATTTAATTTTTTCATTTTGTATTGTAAATACATATATGTCATTCGGGTTGTAAATTAATCATTTTATGAGAGTATATAATTTGATGCCAATTATTGACAACACATATTTTATACTAACGATATACACATCACTTAGATTAAATAACATAATTTTTATTTAACTTGACGCTATTTGCTGATATCAAATCTTTTATACAAGTAATAGTTATTATATTGAATAATAAGACACTGTTCATAATTTTTATTTAACTTGACGTCATTTACTGATATATATCAAGTCATTTATACAGGAAATAGTAATAATATACATATCACTAAAGTAAAGTTAGTTTACATCAAAGTACAAAGGATACTATTTAAGTTTTATCTTTTAAAAAATTATATTTAATTTGGATACAAGTTTTTTTTCAAGGAGCGCGATTACACTTGACACTTCTTTTTTACTTTTTTTTTAAAGTCAATTTTGTAACAATATCACGCATTTTGTAGTGTTATAACATATCTCGGATTAATGCCTATTCGGGGAGGATGTGTTTTACTCTATGAGAATTGCTCCGTTGCATATTATCCCATTCTCGTTATTTTGCTCATAACAGAAATTGTGTAACGGAAAGATATAGATAAAGGAAGCAATGTAAATGGATCTGGCCTTTCATCTTTCTACTAAAAGAATTATAATTATAGTGTAATGTATAAAAATCAATATAAAAAATAATTTTTTTGGATAATATAATATCTTATCTGTAATATGGATTTGTCTAATAGATCCCATACAGCACAGAACGATTGCAGCAAAATCAGTACATACACGCGTACAATCGTGAAATCATATTGTGGTTACGCGTGGAAATTACATGTATTCGTAAAATATCGCATAATAGACTCAAAGTAGACATTATAATGAAGATTCTAACACCTTTAATTTTTTTATTAGAAGGTAAAACTTTGGGGAACTGAGAAACAGCAACTTGTACAAGATCGAAAAGAATAAAAATGATGTCACAATATTCAAGTTAAGTTAATCCCGCATATCATTGTTACTTTTTTTAATTCAAATACTAATATTGATATTATATAGAAGAAAAACTTCAACAGATTATAAGCTCAATTTTTTAAAAATTATGTTCTAAAAATTGTTTCTAAAAATTATAATTATGTTAGGACTCGAATAACATTTCTATTTTTATAATACTCTTATAGGAACAGATATCCACCCACTTGCAAAAAATTTCTCCATAGCTACTTTAACTCATTTATTTTAAAATACCGTGCTAATGAAGTGCGAATTTGCATGTGGATTTTTGGCCTTTTTTTTAGATCTCTGGCCCACTGTGCACCCGAGTGAGCAAGTGCATAATTACTAAAAAACAATCATTAAACCAATTTTGTCTGGAGAAAGACACCGAGAATGTGAGCACTTCTGCTAAAAAACTTATCCAGAACGAACAAAAAAGAAGAAGATAAGACAATTAACATCAATATAGAAGGACAGCTGTATGGCGCAAACATTGCAGAGTAAGGATAAATTTGATACTTTCTACTAAACATATACCATAAAATAACGCAAAGTAAAACTTTAATCGCGTTTTACTCGAAACCGCACATTTTCAAAGTTGGCGTAGCACGAATTTCAGAAACTATATTCATCCGATTTACTTGAAATTTACACAGAATCTTCTATTTTGTGTAATCTAAGGAAGTACGGACGGATTTTGCGATATTTATTTAATATTTTGTGACGAAATGTTTTGGCTAAAATGACATCTTTTTTCAAATGTTCGCTATTTTTATAAAAATCAATATTTCGAAATATCCGTATGTACTTCTTTAATACATATTATATAGTTTTAAAAACTTTTTGGCTTTTTGTTCCAGGTTCAACCGAGTGCTAGATCCTCGCTACACCGATTTGACAATAGCTATAAAACGGCATTTTTCAAATATTTTTTACTTCTAAAGACTTGTATTATAAAAGCTTTGAAACGGATTTTTTATTACTCTTATTGTTTTCCTAAAAAAAAATTCCCAAAGTTACCTATTATTTTTAGGCAGTCAAGGTGATGTAACTCCTTAAAACATTTTTCATTTTTTTCGTATCATTAAAAATAATAGATATTCTAGATGCTTAAGTTAGAAGAAACACTAATTTTGTATGAAAAATTACAATTTTTCACTGTTACGCCATTTATACTTTCTTCTACTACGAGCTTGCATGGTTTGTCGCATTAGCAAGACATACGGCGTTTCTATTAATAAGGATAATATATAAGAACAGAAATAAATAATTATTAACTGTCCTATAAACACGACAGTCTGAAATTAAAAAAGTTGTGACAATAATAAATTATAGATATTTTTTAGAATTTTTTAGATGTCCATACTTACAAAGGGTAGAAGCTCAAAATGAGCTGAATTTTCACTTTGCAGATGAATCGAATGTATGATGAGAGGATTTAAAAGATAAGCACAATAGGATAGTCTGCTAAATGGAACCCAGCCTTTGAATGATAAAAATTTATAAATAATACCTATAAAGTTAATTTGATGATTAGTAATACATTTATATAAATTACAATATTATTCTAAAAAATACTATTTATAGACTATTATGTCAGTATTTATTATAACTGACATGAGAATTGGATACTAATTAGTTAAAAAATTAGAAGTATTAAAGTTAAAAAATTAAAATTAAAATAATTTGTATCTTAACTTAATTATTTTTAAATGAGTTAATTTTTAACTTTAACTATATATGTTTATACATATACATATATATATTATCTTAATTTTTTAACTTGTTAATTTCTTAACTTAAATTTTAATTAAAATGTTAATTTCTAATTGTTAATTTTAAAGCTAAATTTTTTTGTCTCTCCAAAATACTCTTTTCTTCTATAAAATATTAAACATTAGACAATAGATTTTCATAACAATACACTTCCTATCTTGTTATATTTAGCATCTGTGCTCCGTTAGAAAGAGAACGCAATACGTCGAAAAGTATCGGAGCATCTCTCTTTAATCTTTATACCTATATATTATTATTCTCACTCCTAATACTTAGGGTCGAGACACAGACTTTTGCATAACACTACATAACACATAAGACATAAAGCATAAGGAAATCAACCAATAAGAGTCCTTCATTTCATACTCTAATTGGTTGATTCTCTTAATTACGTCTATTTATTAACTTTAACATTATTAATTTTATGGACCAACATTAATTTTAATTTAAGTTAAGAAAAAAGTAACTTCCCAGCTCTAATTATAACAAAAGGGCTTCTTAAAGCATAAATTTAAAGTAAAATTAATTTACATGTGGATCACGAATTTATTATACAACAATTTATTTGCGCACATTTGATAAAAAATTATTATAATATTATTAAATGTATACTAACCACCATGCTGAGTAAGGCACGCTATCACAATCCATGCTAAACCTACAGCCCAAATGCCTCTATACAATGCAACATAAATAGCAGAAGGTAAAATAGGTATGTGTCTCTTGTATATACCAAATATTGTGATAATGTTGCAAGCACTACCAAGGCACCAACATAAAATTACAGTTCTCTAAAATTTGCGTTAAATTAAATTATAATACAAGAAAAATAAATTATAATGTAATAAATTAAATTAAATTTTAAATTATAATATAATATATTAAATATTTAAAACTAGGGCGTAAATAATATTTTCCTTATACATAATTATACTGTTTATTAAATGATTAGTTAATTGTGTGTTGCACAATTATTTCAAAAGCCGTTTAACTTTTTAACATTATTATTTTAATATATATTAATTTTTTGTATTATACAGAGTGTCTTGTACTCAATGGTACAGCGTTTGTGAGCAGGTAGTGTGAACCAAACTGAATAAAAAAGTCTTCTACCATTTTGCGATCTTTGCAATAGTTATTGAGATACTAATTATTTAAAAAAAAAGAAAAAATTTTACATAATGGCCAAGTTTTTGCTTCACTATGATTCTATTGATCATTTTAATAACTTTAATTCTGTTTTACGAACTTAAAGTTATTTGGAAAGACAATGGCATTAAACTTTTGCTGCATATTTTGAATAGAGTAAACGATTTATTAAAAAAATATTTTTATGGTTTGGAATAAAATATTTTTGTCTCTATGTCTAATCAAATACTTTGCAATTTGTATGATCTCATATTTGTTTTTGGACAACTTTTATTTGTTAAAATAATATTTTTCGTTTAGATAAGATGTACTTAATGTACGATACACTTGTATATACTTGGCGTAAATTTTTTTTGAATGATTAGTATCTTGATAACTATTGCAAAGATCGCAAAATGATAGAGGACTTTTTTGTTCAGTTTGGTTCACACTACCTCCCCACAAACGCTGTATCACGAGACACCCTGTATATATATGTATCAATTTAACATAAAATATATTTAATATACAGTAACTAGTCAAAAGTTTAGACGCACTATGCGATTTTCCTTATTTGTTTAATAAAAACGAGTTTGACTGATAGTTATACTGATAGTTTGAGTGATAGTTATATGCTTAACAATATCTAAGATATAATGTTTGAGAATAGTGTGCCGAGTAATGTAAATATAAAAAGCACTGGTTCGCACACTGTCTTCTATGTTTATATTATTTGTAAGACATCAAGCAAGAACTTATCGCAAAATACTGGCCGTTAAGTACAAACAGGTGCTGACTTAAAAAGTTGCGCGAGAGTTGCAAAACAGTACCTATATCGGGCCTCGATTATACCTTTTTGTAACGTATAAACATAATACAATATACAGACACTAGCGATAATATAAACAAGGTAAGACTGCGAGAAATATGCCACAAAAATCTGATATTAAAATATAATCTTCATTATAATTTCATACACGAATTTTGATATTTGGAATGTCTCTAAGAATCCAAATCAGTTGTGAAAAAAAGCGCAGATCATTATTTTATATGTATAAGCAGGGCTACTTTTTAATCACCAAATTACTAAAATTATTCAAATTAGTGAGAAAGGAGTGCGTACGTACAGCCGTTGCACATATAGGTGCGTCCAAACTTTTTATCGGTACTGTACGTATAAAATATATCAATTACAAAATATAAATATGAAACTCTTTCATACCTTTTTCAAAACTAACTTTCCTTTTAATTGTGTTAAAATATAACCTGTAATTATTCCAATAATATATGGGCTTATTCTAACCCATGGTGGAATGTACAACTCATCTAGAAGCCTATACTGTTCATCCAACCTGTAATAATAAAAAGAGTGTTAATTTTGTTAAGTAACTCTTTAACAAGTAACTTTAATAAAACTTACGTTGGGGTATATTCGTAAATGTATGAAAGATAACCAGAAAAGGCTATCGAGCCTATTAAAAGTGCACCTAATATAAAAGCAGCCATATAAAAGCATCTGAAATTTATAATTGATATTTAATTCAAAGGTACATGCACTATTATATTTAATTCAAAGATATATGCGATCGTAAATTAACAATTAACTTACATTGTCGACAAAATTAATAATGCCACAGCGATCACGAAGAATTGCATATCAACTGACAGATACCAACTCCAACTCATACACTGTAAGAGAAAAAGATGATTTGAAAATTATATAGGTTTTCTTAAACACAATTTTGCGCTAAACTAAAATGTACCATTGTTTTAAAACTGAACAAATTATTTATGTAAAGAAGATTCCTCCACCAATACTTTGAGCAAGTTTCGTGCGGTCTTTCGTATATGTAAAATTGTGAGGTATTGTCAAACCAAGTCGAGCTTAACTGCGCAATTCCTAATACCATCATGTAAGGCGGAGTCAGCCTAAAAATAAAATTTTAGATATAAAGAAAACATTGTTAGCCCATTGTTGAATTTGACATTAATTGCTAATTTTTTTAAAAATTGTCTTTGTCATATAATCAGTAATCACTAATCATCTAAGCCTGAAAATTTAACGGCAATATATTTTCCACAGCTCAAAACGTGAATTAATGTTCGATTTTATTCGCAATAATCGCGTTATATACTTATAATAACTCCGAAATAATTACGAGATCGCGTGCGAATTAATAATTTTGAAGTCTTTTTTTTTTTTTAAAGAAAGTCAACAGCGGAGTAATTCTTCATGTTCTTTTATTCTGCTTATTATCATGACATAGTACTACTATTACTATTTTATCACGTTTATTGCTGCCTTTTTTGTATATTATAATCAACATAACAAAAGATGTACCGGATAAATCTTCTTATTACAATGACGAAGAATTCATTCATTTTTGCGCTGTAAGTGAATGTTTGTATTCGATCTTTGTCCATTTTATCCTTTATGTAAAAATAGGTTACCAAAAGTCCGCTTAAAAACAAGTAGGAATCGACTCCCATGGGTGCACTGCTTAATATTTGAGCGAAGAAACCAGCGGTGAATCTCCAAATTGTGGGTTTATTATCTGCGTACCGAAAACAATCTCCGTTGTGTGTAGTGAACAATAACATTAATTTACAAAATTTTTTTTCAATTAATTTGAACCGGACTATGTGTCTCTTGTAGATTTTTGGATGCTGACAACAATGCCGCAAGCGAAAAAATTCTAGCACGTCAAATTTCCAAGATAATTGAGGTTTAATACTTAAAAAAAACGGCTTTTTTGCGATATTTAACATTTTTTTATAAAGAAGGTTAACATTATCTTGAAATTTTGATCAGGAGTCATGAATATATTGTTCATTCTCTATAAAATACATTATTTTTGATTTCAATACCTTACTTTTTAGCCATGTTATGAATGATTAAAGATAGAAGCTATTTCGAATATGAGGACCGCGGCAATTTTCATTATACCAGTAGATTAGTCTCATAATTCTGTCTCATAATTCTTAATAAAAGTATTAGGGTACAGTTATCAAAATGTGACAAATTAATCCGCATACACATATAACGCTGCCGGAGTCCCCATATTCAAAATAGCTTCTATCTTTAATTTAATTGTTCATAACTAAAAAGTAAGGTATTGAAACTTAAAAAAATGCATTTTATAAGGGATAAACTATACATTCATGACTCCTGAAATTTCAAGATAACATTAACCTTCTTTATAAAAAAATGTCAAATATCGCAAAAAAGCCATTTTTAAGTATTAAACCTCAATTATCTTGGAAATCTGATGTGCTAGAATTTTTTCGCTTGCGGCATCGTTTTCAGCATCCAAAAATCTATAAGAGTCACGTAATCCGGTCCACAGTAATTTTTTACAGTAAACTAGTGTAATCGAACAATATATTTTTTTTTTACAGACGTTTAAATTACTTACCGAGATAGTCTGATATGTAAGCTGCAGAATGGCCCATTATTAGCCAGCACATAGTTAGAAATTTTAAGCCGTGAACAATAGGCAGCGTGTCGGTGTGTAATTTCATATTAAATATTACTTTCGTATTTGCGTAAGCGGAGAAACATGTTAGTATTTTTCCAATTCTACGTTCCTGTAAAGACGAAGCCGTTTCTATTTCCATTTCCTGAATTATGGTTTTCCCATCTAAATTGCAATTTAAAATATATTTAATAGAACATTAATATAGAAATATTAGAAATCACAATTATGTTCTCATAAATTAAAAGTCTGACTTTGTATGGAAATGTGCATACGAATGAAGAATGAGTAATAATAAATAAATTATTAATATATGAATGACTAGAAAATATTTAATAATTTAATTGTTAGTTTTTATTAAAATATAATTTATATGTATATTGTTAATTATTATTCAAATATAATTTAAATTTTAATCAAAGAAATGGCATATAATTTCTTATATTAATATTATATTATATAATAATGCTATAAATTTTATATATTATGTATATGTATAAAATTATATACATAATTTTATCGTAATTTATATAAAGTATATATGATTAAAGTTTTGAATATAAAAGTTTTAGTGATAAAGGGTTTTTCAGTATGGTACTTACTATTGTTAATTTTATTCTCCTCATTTGAACATTTTTGATTCATGAATATATCGTATATTGTTCCGATTATTACCATGAAAACAGAAAACCCTAAAACGCTGTAAATATAAAATTAATAACTGTATGCAAAATATCTTTTTAATATTTCTGCAGATTTAGTTATATCTTTGAATAAAAATTTGTTTTTAATATATGATATGTAAGTAGGATAAGTGTCCCTATTAGTGTGCTTTTATATTTAAATAAGTCATAAAAATAAACTGGTATAAATAAATAAACAAAGTATTTTTTTAAAATTAAGTTAAAGTATTAACGTATATAATACCAAAGATTATATTTTATTTTTTAACTTTTAAAGTATAATAAATATTTTTTGAATAGTTCATATCACAATTTAGAGGAATTAACTCGAACGTCTTATTGTTAGCAAAAACGATAAGAAACGCTTACTCAATAGAAGTGAATAAATTGATTATTAACATAATTTACATCATGTAAAATGTAAATTATATTATAAATTAATTTAATTTAATAAAATAGTGAAGTACTTAAGTATTTTAGAAGTGTTTTATGTTATTTATTATATGAGTCCATTAATACCGCAAGATTTAAGGCTTGTCCCTATTAGTGTGCTCTCCTGTTTTCACTGTCAGCCGGCTGACTCGGCTAACCCATAATTTGTGTAATGGTCGTGATGTGACGGCGCATATTGAAATTGTAAACCGCGATGTGAATCTCTTTGGATGTGATAGTGCTATGGATGGATAAAACTATAGAAGCAGTAAAATTAGGAACACCGATAAATATTGCTAGCAAATTATATAAGGTTCCACGATCATCTCTTCATAGCAAGTTTGTAACAAATATATTCATGAAAAGACTGAAC